TTTGAATTCTGCTGTATAGTGCAGGGTTGGTACAGTGTCAGGGGTTTTCGTTCAATGTGTGGAGAGTGAAGGATGTGTGTTTGTGTTTATTTTCATGGTCATGGTCATGATGTGCACTGAAGATGGTGTTTGATTTCGTTGTACGAGGTGCAATGACAATAAAGTAAACTAAATTAAACTCTGCAAAAATTTTAAATGTGTATGCTAGCTAGAATCCTTATTGTACAGGTAGTCCTCAATTTACCACCATTCAAAACTACAACAGCATTGAAAAAAGTGACTTACAACCAATCCTGGCACTTATGGCTATTGCAGCATCCCCGTGGTCAGGCGATTAAAATTTGGGAGCTTGGTAACCAGCATGTATTTAGGATGATTGCAGCATCCTGGGTTCATGTGATCATCATTTGCAACCTTCCTAGCTAGCTTCTGGCAAGCAAAGTCAACTGGGGAAGCCAAATCTGCTTAATTTCCACGTGATTCACTTAACAACCGCAAGGATTAACTTAATAACCATAGCAAAAAGGTTGTAAAATCGGGCATGACTCACTTAAGAACCATCTTGCTTACCAATGGAAATTTTGCTCCCAGTTGTGCTAGTAAGTTGAAGACTACCGTGCCTATAAATTTGTAACTCAGGGTTGATATGAAGGGTCCTTGGTGCCCTCCAAGTTTGGTTGCTTTCTTGAAGTCATTTCACTACCCTCAACACTGATAACGTTACCTAGTTTGGTTAATGAAAAGTCTGCAAGAAAACAACCAAGCTCTGAAAGCACCAAGGACGCTTCACTACTGTACCTGTATTCCCAGTATGCTCAAGAGGATCCTCCTACTCCAAAATCAAAAGTAGGCTTATTGCAAATCATGTGGGCTATTGAAAAAAAAATGCGAGTGTTTTGCCAAGGTATGTTTGCCATCCATCGCTGTGGATTTAGCAAGTGAGAAGCACAGGGATTTTTCTTCTCCTCCCATCCTGATTAAGTAGCTCACCAGCTGATCAATTTGCCCCCTCTTGGTGATAGACAGAGGGGCGTCAAAAAGCTTTTCTTCTCCCTCTGACTCCAGAGCCACATGGGTCTTGGTTACTGCGCCAGCCAAAGGATCGAGAAAGACGTATTTCTTATACCTGGGGAAGAACAGAAGGAAAGGAAAAGACAATCCCATCTGTTTATTACAAAGAGAACAAAGCAAAGACACTCAGGCAGGGAAAATGTATTTTCCTACATTATCAGGGTCTTTTTACAGTCACTCCAGTGAAATACAGTGCTGGAATAACTTTCTGCCCACTGAGATTTCCATGCACCAAACAGAGGTCGATCCCAGCCCAAGTCTGCCCTGATAGATCATGGGGTTGTTGTTTTTTTAACCATAAAAAACATGGGAGGAATCCAAAGAATTTTAAAAATCCTGCAGAAGCAGACTTCTCAGCGCTCGGTGCTTGTTCTGCAAAGCTTTTTTTTTTTTTTTCCCACATTTACTTTGCTCGTGTGTTTTGAGACTGTCATACGCACTTTAATAAAGAAAAACTGAAGTTGACAGTTTATCCAAGGGACCAAGGCAGAGGCACAAGCCTAAAATCTAGTTCACATTTAATTAGTTATATCACCGGGGTTCGTAGAGAAGGGGGCAAAAGCAATATTTTGAGAACGCTACAAAATTAAAGAGGGATTTGCAAGAGTGGGGATAAACTTATCAACCTGTCAGTTTCTCCTCCGCTTAATGTAATCAGTCCTGTATCAGCTCTGACTTGCCTCCTTTTCTGCAACCTAAATTTGTATGGCTTCCTCGTGTGCATCTATTATTTCATAAACATGATTTTGTTTAATACTAGCCAAAATAGGCACAGGAAAGTGCAATTAAAAAAAGGAGAAATGGGGCTGGAGAAAAAAGATGGACAAAGCAGAGAGGCATCAACAGGATTTAAGGCTTATGCTGAGAAATAAGGATGAGGACTGGAAACTTGGCTTCAAACTGTTAAAGCAGAGGAAGACTGGGAAATGCTTTAAATTAACATGGGTGTCAAACTCACGTCGTCATGGCGGTGTCACGTGACATATTGGGACTTTTTTCCCTTTGCTAAACCGGGCATGGGCGTGGCCAGCGCGTGACGCATCCAGCATGCAGGCCGGGAGTTTGACAGCCCTGCTTTGAAACAATATCACACCAGCTATTTGGTCACTCAGGGCTAAGATAGAAATAAGCATCGGCATCAAAAATGGGTTGAGGACCACAGTCCTGGGACCGTCTTACCCTTTTATCAGTTGAGGGGTGTTCTTGAGGCTATTTCTTATTTTAGGCCCACTAATCTTATCTGAAGGCTTAAGGCACTTTGCAGGTAGTCCTCATCTTACGACCACAGTGGAGCCCAACATTTCTGTTGCTAAGGGAGACTGTTGTTAAGTGGGATTTGCCCCATTTTACGACCTTCCTTGCCACAGTTGTTAAGTGGATTCGCTGCGGTTGATAATTTAGTAACCCAGGTTGTTAAGTGAACCTGGCTTTGTTCGTCAGAAGGTCGCAAAAGGGGATGACAGGACCCCGGGGTACTGCAACGGTCATAAATAGGAACCAGATGCCAAGGGTCCAAAGGTTGATCATGTGTGTCAACTGTGCCTCCATTCAGAGTCCAAGAAAGAAAACCTTAGACGCCATTAAAATAGAGAAAAGTACTTTTGCTGGATTTGAAGTGATAGCAACCAAAGGAAAGCAAGATCTGAGGCAAATAGGTGCGGAAAATACATATTTAAAGTTATCCCAAGTCCTCTCCCATAGCAGTTCAAACTGGACATCCAATCTGAGGTGTGTATAACGTCTTGTGGGCTACATATTCAGGCGTCTCGCGCATCTGGTAGGCCAAGGCGGTTGACCTTGGCCTAGAAAAGATAAGTGTTCGCAGTAGCGCAGAAAGCAGGAAAGCGTCCCGTCTTTTACAGTTCACACAACTTCGACCTCCAGCATCCTTCCCCCACAAAGGCCAATTATTCCTCCCCCCCACCATTTCCATGACAGCCGGCAAGAGTCAAGCAGTCAAAGATGTGAGGAAGAATTCTTAGAGGCTGACCATGTGACCCTGGGGATGCTACAACGGTTGCAAGTGTGAAAAGGGATCCTAAGTCACTTTTTCAGTGGTGTTTTAACTTCAAACAGTCACTAAATGAACTGTTAAATCGAGGACTACTTATATTTGCTTAATTTACTGCCAGAAACCATTGCTGACTTTTGGGAGGTACAAGCCAGGGAACCTTGAGGAACACAAAAGGATGTGGAAGTCACATTCAACCAATGGATTTCTCACCCCTATAAGAATTTTATTTTGAGAGAAGAGAGGAAGGCCAGTGGCAGTTTTGGGGTCACCAGAAAGGAAACGTGGCCCAGAGTAGCAACTACAGGGAAGACTTACAGGTTCTCGGTGGTGTTGAAGAGCAACAGGGAGCTGAGGGAGCTAATGTTTCTGGGAAGACTGCCCAGGCCTTCTTCTGCATCATCTTCATGGTGGACTCTGGTGGTAACTGAAACCGGGAAGTACTTCAACTTCTCCTACAAAATTCAAACATCAATAGCTCTTAACATCCCAGCAGCCCTTTACTTCGATGGTTTAGATTAGGCATTTAGAAAAACCTAAATCTACTGTTGAAAGTTGAAACTCACCCCTCTCCTAGAAAAATGAAATATCCTAGGAAATATTAAAAAAGGCAGAATATTTCCCCCTAAAAAGATTAGAAACTCAAAGAGCAGAAATACCTCAGAAGCAGAAGCTCACCCCCACCTTTGTTAACGGGTGGGCCATTAAGGCCTGGGCCAGAATACTTTACATAACAAAGATCTCCAGGTAAAGATATAGCAATTGCCCAAGAGCCCTTTCAGTGCATCATCATCCAGCAAGGCTCAACCAAGCCTGGAACTCAGGACAGCCTACAGAGTTGCCCCTGCATGGCCTCATGAGAGTCTGACAACCAATTCAAATCCCAACAAAGGTTATTTAAAACCCAGGCACTCTCAGCATATCTGCCCTTCTTGATCTCCTTTCACCTTGGAGCATGTGAGCATCCTCTTCACTTTGGAGCTCCAGGCCGTGTGGTCCTGTCCATCATTAAACCATCTTTCCTAACAGCCTCCATGTTTCCAAGTGTCTTTTTCCCCACTTGGAACTGAACCCAGAAGGATATTTCTCCCAACGCTACCAATGCCCCTCAGACTCACAGCTCCTGCCTTTCTTTCCTGCTGTTGGTTCTCACCTGTAGTATGGGAAAAGGTCAGTGTAATGACGTCTCACGGCTTTGTTGTAATCTCAAACTGATTCAGTGAGAGGGGCTGGGGCACAAAAAGCAGCACGTTACAGCAGGCAAACCTCTTCATCAGTCCAACTTGCAACGTAGGCTAGAATTCAGGCAACTAATTCCTGCCGTTGTGGTTCTGGTTCCCATTAGTTACTGGAAATCAGTTCGCTGCAATCCCACTTTTTATTTTTTATTTATTTATTTATTTGATTTGCCAATTGTTTACAAGATAATAAGTATAAGTGTATACATAGTTGTGAATACATGAAATGGGTACATATAAGAAAAATAAAAGAAGAATAAGAGAAACAATAGGACAGGGACGGTAGGCACGTTGGTGCGCTTATGCACGCCCCCTACAGACCTCTTAGGAAAGGGGTGAGGTCAATAGTAGACAGTCTAAGGTTAAAGTTTTTGGGGTTTGGGGAAGAGACTACAGAGTCGGGTAGAGTATTCCAGACATTGACCACTCTATTGCTGAAGTCGTATTTCCTGCAATCAAGTTTGGTGCGGTTTACTTTGAGTTTGTATCTATTGTGTGCTCTTGTGTTGTTATGGTTGAAGCTGAAGTATTCATTGACAGGTAGGACATTGCAATGTATGATTTTATATACCATGCTTAAATCAGACCAAAGACGGCGTAATTCAAGGTTTTCTAGTTCTAGAATTTCAAGTCTGGTGGCATAAGGTATTCTACAACGAGTAGAGGAGTGGAGAACTCTTCTTGTAAAATATAACACAAGAACTCTTCTTGTGTTATTTCTTGTGAAATAACTTTTGCTCCTTACTACTGTTGGAAGAAATATCCTTCTGGGTCCAATTCCAAGTGGGGGCGGGGGAGACACTGGAATCGTGGAAGTTGCTAGAAAAGAAGGTTTAATGATGGACATGGCTTGGAGATCCTGGGTGAAAAGGGCGTTCACGTGCTTCAAGATGTTGGGTGAAGAAAGAAAAGAGCCAAGATGCTGAGAGTGCAATTGTTTTATACCCTCTGTTGAGCCCCACCTTAGTGTTTCCTGTTCCTGTGTAAGAAATGGATCTCATTAGCTGTCAGACTCCCAGGGTTCGGGGGTCTTAGCTAACTTTGTAGGCTTTGTCTGTGTCCCAGGCTTGTTTGAGTGCTGGCTGATGTAATCTTCCCAGGTGCCATGTGGTGAGATGAGTAGAGGGCGTACATAAGTGCACCAACGTGCCTACCGTCCCTGTCCTATTGTTTCTTTTATTTTTCTTAAATGTACCCATTTCATGTATTCATAACTATGTATATACTTATACCTATTATCTTGTAAGCGATTGACAAATCAAAATAAATAAAATAAATATCTTTGTTATGTAGAATAGACTGGCTCAGGCCCTAATGGCCCATTTGACAAAGGTTGTGGGGGGAGGGGAGGCTGAGTTTCTGCCTCTCTGAGTTTCTACTTCTCTTTTAGGGGAAATATTCTACCCCTTTAGTATATCCTAAAATATTTCATTTTTCTAGGAGAGGGGTGGGTTATAACTTCCAACACTACAAACTATCTAATCGTCTATTCTCTTTTCCAAACTCACTGCTCTGGCCTTATCTCGCACCCCATACACCAGGGGTGTCAAACTCAAGGCCAGGGGGCCAGATGAGGCCTGCGGGGTGCTTAGATCTGGCCTGCAGGGCTGCCCTGGAAAGAGCAAATTTGACGATTGCAGGTGGCCATCGCAGCTGAAAATGGAGCTCGGGAGCCCATTTTCACTGGCAGAGCGCTCGGCTGCCACAGGCGCCCCTGACACAAGTGACGTTGAGCTGCCCTCACCCCCACCCCCGGCCACACTCACCTCGCCCCCCCCCCCCGAGGTCAAACACAACTCTGCGGTGGCCCTCAATGAAATCGAGTTTGACACCCCTGAACATACATTCTCTGTCTAGCCTGAACTGGGTCTTTTAGAAAGCCTGAAGTCCTAGAGAGTCACTATCAAATGTAAACAATATTGAGATGAGTAGATTAATATCAAAATAAAATAAATCTTAGTGTATTTGCAAGAGGTTAAGTATTTTCTTGAAAGTGTTTTGTGGCCTGGGGAAATAAATCTCTTGATATGTTAATAGGAGTGATCCCTACAGATGGATACTTTCTGATGGGTTAAAAAAAAAATCACAAAAAATATAGTTAACTGCATGTAACAGATTGTAGCATACAGAGAATGCTTTTACTTATTTTCTCCTAATATGCAAAAAAAAACAAAAAACCAAAAAAAAAAAAAAACCATGCCAAAAGTAAAAAAAAAACCTGCAAATTACCCAGCATTAATTCTTTGAGTTATATTTTTCTGATGCGGGCCCTAAAAATGCACTTTTTTTTCTGATGTAAGCTCTCCTTTTAGACATAATTAACTGCTGCACTGTACAGCATACAACTTTCAGGAGCCAACTTTATTTCCATATGTGTAGTTTCAGCAGATTTTTCAAGGAAGGAAAATTAATCTTAGCTGATTTTTCTCCACTGCAAAGTCAGACGCGGGGAAAGAAAATGCCCAAATCTGCTTCTTAGGGAACAGTTTCCAACTTTAGCAGTTTTAAGATGGGTGGACTTCGACTTTCAGAATTACCCAGCAAGCATGTTGGGAATTCTGGGACTTCAAGTCCACATGCCTTGAAGTTGTCAAGGTTGAGAAACAGCTTATTGTAGACAAAAGGACAGTGTGTTTGATCAATGTGTGGGTCAAGTTTCAAGTAGAAAAGGAGGAAGAAGCTATTTTTGGTGGATTCCAAAACTCTCTGCATATCCTGTACATTGGTGCACTGAGTTCTGAGGCTAGGCTGAAATATTCATGCTACTTTTACCGTGACTGATTTTGCTTCCATTAAACCACAGAAAAATGCAAAGCGCTGAATTATTCAACCGCAGCTTATTTTGGGGGGTTTTGAGAAAGAAAACAAGAGTTTAAGCCTGAAGCAGCTTCACTGGCCCTTGTCTGGTACGATAGCTTTTCCTTCTGCATGAGGATCCAGATGTATATATCAGTGGTATCCCAAGAAATTAACATCATAAAATAAATTCTCTGGGGGATGATGGAACATGTCCTTGGCTAAGAGAGTGGTTGAAAAGAAAACAAAAGTCTCTACAGTATTAGTTGCTCTTCCTTTGTTGTTGACTGTCCTATGCAGCCACTGGAGACTCCTAAATATTGGAAAAACTGCCAGCTTAATTTTAACTCATCTGCAAAGAAGAATGTACTCAGGGCTTATGCACACAGAGTCCAAACCAGGAACTACAATATTCTTTGTGGAAGTTCAGTGACTGGAACAAAGACTGTACAAAAATGAAGCACTAATTCAAAGCTGCCGATAACTAGAGATGCACAAAACCGAACCACAACGACTTCCTGCTGTGGAAGATTTATTTCTAGAAAACTGACTAGATCAGCAAGGTAAGGAGGAAAAACAGAATGTTCCAAAATTTCCCAAAACATTTTACACACTCATTAAGAAATATCGAAGGAATCTTTAAGTTTTCCAAAAATACAGCCTGAAAAGACCCTAGACCAGCGGTCCCCAATCACCGGGCCCTGGACCGGTACCAGTCCGTGGATCATTTTCTACCGGGCCGCTGGTTTGCTGGGCACCGCCATCTTGTTTCGACGAGAAAGTGCTTCCGGTTGAGCTTTTCCGGTTGGAAAGCGGCGTTTGGGTCCTGAAGGAATCCTCGCGCCTTAGTTTCATCGAAGGGGGGGGCGGCTTCGAACGAAGAGCCGTCCCGATGGCGGAGGAGATTAAGAAAGCACAAAAAAGCACAAAAAAGGTACAAAGGAGGAGTTGAAGGTGGCGGGGAGAAGCAGGGGACGGCTGGCTGGCCGGTCGCTCGGCTCGCCTTGCCTTGTCATGCGTGCTGATGCCGGTACTGGGCCGCGGATCATTTTGTGATGCCAGTACCAGGCCGTGGCACAAAAAAGGTTGGGGGCCACTGCCCTAGACTACAGGCAGGAAAGAGCAGGCAATAGCCAAGGGAAATGCGAACTTCCTCATCACTCCTTTCTCTACTCATATAGACATTGACTAGAGATCAGAGAATGTAATTCAGGGATGCAATTTATCCCGCACCTCCCAACGACACAATCAGTGAACCCAGAGATTGTTTGTGTGTGTAATATACAAACAAAAGATTAACTTATAAGAGTCCTGGTGGCACAGTGGTCAGAATGCAGTATTGCAGGCTGACTCTGCCCACAGTCTGGAGTTCAATCCTGATCAGCACAAAGTTAACTCAACCTCCCATCCTTCCGAGGTTGGTAAAATGAGGACCCAGATTGTTGAGGGACAATAGGATGACCCTAAACAGTGTAGAATGTGCTGTAAAGCACTATGAAGCAGTATATAAGTCTAAATGCTCTTGCTGTTATTTATTTACTTATTTATGCATGTGACTGAATACTGTACAAGCATAAAAATGCAAGCTCATTGCTAGGGGTTCATTTTTAAAATAGTTTTATAGAATCCAAGCAGATTCTTATGTAAAGAAGGTTTTTCTTCTTCTTCTTCTAATCCATGCAATACTTTTGCTGCCTGGACCTCCTCAGGCAATTCCTGTCCTGATTCAGAACTACGCTGCCTGACGCACTCAAAAACCCAAAGCAAAGAGAAGCCTCTTGAGTAAGAAATGTAATTGTGTGTCCTCTGACTCCCATCTGGCCATCCTCACCTGTAAGGACTTCTCATCCAAGGGTCTGTGCTTGCTCTGAATTTTGTGCCTCGGTTGTTTCTGTGCCTCTGAATCCTGAGCGCCAGCGAAGATGGAAGCATATTCTTGCAGCCGTTCTGGGGCAGGGAATTTGGAGCTGGAAAACACCTAGGCGAGAAAAAAAAATGTAAGGAGAGAGAATTGAAGCATGGAAAGTAGGTTGCCAGCACATAATCAAGATAGCCGGGTGGTTTTTAACAGAAAAAAGAAACATACATCTTTCATGTGCTAATACAGAAGTAGGAACTATGAACGAACTACCTTGGAATTTAATTCCTCACCTACAAAATAATCTACAAGACTCTGATTACAGGTAGTCCTTGACTTAAGACCACAATGGAGCCCAAAATTTCCACTGCCACATAAGACAGTTTTTAACTGAGTTTTTGCCCCCATTGCATGACCTTTTTGCCACAGTTAAGTGAATCACTGCAGTTGTTAAGTGAATCATGCAGTCATTAAGCGAATCTGGCTTCCCCCATTGACTTTGCTGGTCAGTGTCATGCCCCTGGTGGAGACTGACTCTGAGGGAGAGGAGGAACAGCCGACAGGGAGTGGAAGTGTGGCTCCGGAGGTTGTGGAGGAGGCTGGGAAAGGGCCGAGGCTGGCTGGGCAGTCAGAGGAGGACCCAGGTCCATCCCTTATCCATCCTAGGGCACGCAGGGAGGAGAGGATAAGGGAGAGACGTAGTCTACTTGGAAGGAGAGAGCCTTCATCCTCTTCATGGGCTGCAGGTGTGACAACTGAATAAGAGGATGGACCTGCGTATGGGCGAATGCTGGAAACAAAGCGTGGAAATATCTCTAGTTCATGGTTCCTCTCTGAGTTTGGCGTCCTTCCCAGTGTGTGTTTTCTGTGGACGTCCTCCAGCCCTTATCTTGCCTGGTTTGTGTTGCTTTTTCCCTGCTTCTTGTAACTGTTTTTGTGGGAGTTTTTTGGCTTCCATCAAGAATATTCGGAGCTTGGAAGCAAAGTGAAGGAATAAAAGGGGCTTCACCTGTTTTCTGTGACTGTGTTTGTTTTGTATCCCACCCTGGGTCATCACAGTCAGGAACCGGCTGGGAAGGTTACAAATGGTGATCACATGACCACCAGGGCAGCTGGCATAAGCGCATGCCCATCGCCAAATGCCTGAAATTTGATCATGTGACCATGTGTGTGAAAAACAGTCATAAGTCACTTTTTCAATGCTGTTGTAACTTCAAATGGCAACTAAACAAATAGTTGTAAGTTGAGGACTACCTGTATATGGCAAATGCGAGCCCGTAAACGTTAAGTATTAGTATGGATGAATTACAACTGGGGGAAACAATGATGCTAGCTAGAATGGTAGGATTCAGTTCCACGTTCTGTCTCAAGTTACTACCAGTTTGTTAACTGCACTGAGCAAACCAGTTTCTGGCTTAACATTCCAGAAATTTGCATTCTGGATGCTTGTAAGAATGCTTAAAAAATACTGCTGAAAGACAAAGAGGTTCTGGAATATAATAAAACAGTGAAAATAAACAGGCTTTACTACCAGATCCTCAAACTAGATCATGGCTGTTACAGAAGGCAACAGATTAGAGCACCTTCTTTCCTTAATATACTGATTATTACTGCAACCACTTTGTATTCTGCATTAAAAAAAACCACTCATTCATGCAATTGTGAACTGTGTGACTGCTCTTACAGGCAGCTTGGCCTTTAATCACAGGTTAATGGAAGCAATGCCATTCAAAAGAACCATTGCAATCAGTATCCAAACCTTAATAGCCTTCTTGCTGCCCTTTATCTTCTCAATTTTGGCTTGGGCAAGGGTGACCCGCTCATTGATTGCTCGTAGTTGTGCCCGGCTGGCTTCCACTTGTTGGGAGATCCTAAGAATCAATCAGTCAATCAATCAGTTTGCAGCAGCATTTAACTAATGGGCAAAGAGAAAGAGTTCTCTGGTTGGTATATAGATTAAGTAAAACAATGTCTTTCCAATAAAAAAGCTATTTAAACACCATCAATTGCCTTCTTTCCTCTAATAAAACCAACCAAGACAAAGGTTGTCATAATTTTGCCAACAAGACCATCAAATAGCAGTAGCATTTAAGGTTATATACCACCCCATAGCACTTTTACAACACTCTCTGGGCTGTAATGAAGAAGCATTATTTGTATATTGTCCCCAACAATCTGGGTGCTCATTTTACAAACTTAGAAAAGATGGAAGTCAACGTTGAGCCCCATCAGGATTGAACTCCAGGCAGTGAGGAGAGTTAGCCTGCAATACTGCAGTTTAATCACTGTGCCACCAGGGCTGAGAAACAACAGTAATGATAATACAGTAATAACAACAAAAGAAATCCATGTAGCTCTACACATCTTGACAATACCATATTAGGATAAGATATGTTATGTTATTATTCTATATCTGTTTGCCACATAGGGTCAATTTGGATCTTAATCACTCTCAACCTGTTTGGATCCCCACATTATTTCATGTTTGGGTTAGAAAGTCAACACAGTGAGGCAAAAAAACAAAACAAAAAAACCTTCAGGAATGACCCAAAGGTGCTTTTTTCAAGAGGCAACTGGACTTTCTGGTTTTTCTTTGAAGACGTTTCGCTTCTCATCCAAGAAGCTTCTTCAGTTCTGAAAGACAAATATGTTCTGAAGAGCTGAAGAAGTTTTTTGGATGAAAAGTGAAACGTCTTCAAAGAAAAACCAGAAAGTCCAGTTGCCTCTTGAAAAAAGCACCTTTGGGACAACCATGGCCAGGATGACTGAGAATCTCCACAGACCTTCAGGAATGAATGTTCAGGTTTGAGAGAAAAGAGAAAAGGTTTCTGAGGCTACTCGTAATAATGGTTCAGAAGCCACAGTAAATGTAGCAACCTGGCTCCAAGCAGGGAAGAGTTGGTTGAGTAACATTATGCCAGTGTTTAGGTTGCTGCCAAAAAGCTCTGGGTCCAATTTAAGGTGTTGGTTTTAATCTCTTTACCAACATTGAAATCTTGAGGCAGTTTCCTTGCTGATCTAATCTCTTGTGTATTTTATGTTTCTAAATTTTAGTTAGTTTTAGTTTTAATTTTTCAAAACTTTAATAGAATAGAATTCTTTATTGGCTTTAATAGAATAGAATTCTTTATTTACTGGTGCAAATACTCTCAGTATACATAAAGGGAAAGACGCATTCGTCAAGAGTTGAGAATCATAAGGTACAACACTTAATGATAGTCATAGGGTACAATAAGCAATCAAATCATACTAGGAAACAATCAATATAAATCGTAAGCATACAAGCAACAAAGTTACAGTCATACAGTCACAAGTGGGAGGGGATGGGTGATAAGGAGCGATGAGAAGATTAACAGTAATAATAGTGCAGACTTTGTAATAGTTGAACAGTGTTGAGAGAATTATTTGTTTAGCAGAGTGATGGCTTTCAGGAAAAAACTGTTCTTGTGTCTAGTTGTTGTGGTGTGCAATGCTCTATAGCGTCGTTTTGAGGGAAGGAGTTGAAACAGTTTATGTCTGGGATGTGAGGGATCTGTAAATATTTTCACAGCCCTCTTTTTGACTCGTGCAGTATACAGGTCCTCAATGGAAGGCAGGTTGGTAGTAATTGTTTTTTTTCTGCCGTCCTAATTATCCTCTGAAGTCTGTGTCTGTCCTGCTGGGTTGCAGAACCAAACCAGACAGTTATAGAGGTGCAGATGACAGACTCAATAATTCCTCTGTAGAGTATCAGCAGCTCCTTGGGCAATTTGAGCTTTCTGAGTTAGATATTTCTCCTAAGTAAGATAAGGAAAGCTCTAACTCAGCCTTCCCTATGTGCTCATCTCAAGAGGAATATTAGCAGGTTTCCATTCCTCATGAAGCAGGGGTGTCAGTGCTACACAGTAGAAAGCCTTGTCCATTATTTTCCTTTTACTACATGGTTAAAACCACTATGTTCTAGTGAGTCTTTAGAGTAAAGCTGGATCTGGGTATCACTAAAACTTTTTTGGTGCTATTGGATGATTATTGTTTGTTTGCTCCAACACTGGAAGTTTTGAAGAAGAGATTGGACAACTATTTGTCTGAAATGGCATAGGGTTTCCTACCCGGGTAGAGAGTTGGACTAGAAGACCTCCAAGGTCCCTTCTAACTCTGTTATTCTATTGTAAAATACTTCACGTCTTAAAAGTATGGCGGTATATAAACACCCCATATAAAACAATAGATCAATAAAATATGAGATTATATACTAGGTATGATTGTCAAGTGACTAATACAGACGTGACTGGCCAAAGAAAGTCTTTCAAAAAGTAAATAATTATTATATCCCGAATAGAGAGCCAGTTTGGTGTAGGGGTTAAGGCACTGGCCACAAAACAGAAGACTGTGTTTTACTTCCATTTTAGGCACAAAGCCAGCTGGGTGACCTTGGGCCAGTCATTCTCTCCCAGCTCTGGGAAGGAGGTAATGGCAAACCACTTCCAAAATCTTGCCAAGAAATCTGCAGGGATAAATCCAGGCAGTTGTCAGGAGTCAACATTGACTCAAAGGCACAATCAGTCAATCAATAACCCAGCATAGTCATTACACACATGAAATGTCTCCAAAAAGAGTGCTCATTTACATGTCTGAGCACTTTTATATCTAATAATCAACAAACACCTGTAAATAATTTAACATCCTCTTTTTAACAAGAGAAAATTTCCTTGTTAAGCCAGCTAGAACCTATGAAACCGTCTTCTCTCCAAATAAAATCCAGCCTAAAGTACTAGCTGCACGAATGAAACCACGTCAAGTTTTCCCTAAGTTATTAAAGCTGAAGTTGGAAACAAAGAACCGTTATAATCCTTCACACTAAGCCAGGGAAAGAGTGATTGATATTTGCAGTAGACGGATTAATGTCCTCCCCTTCCCCAATTTTGCAAAATAAATATATTGAGATTAAAGGACAGAAACAATGTGCCAATGAAGGAGAACACCAATCATAGTCACTGACACAGCCAGCCCTCTGTTGCAGAAAACCAGCATTTAAATCAGGCAGTCCTGATTCATTATTTTTCTAACTTCAAGGATTCTATGTAGGCTGAATGTGTGTGTGTGGGGGGGGAAACAAACTGCTGTTACAACCTGGAGAATAATTTACAGGATTGTCAGTATTTTATTTATTTATTAATCCAATTTACATGGTTATCCATCAATCATGCTGAACTAAATAAAAACAAGGGATTCCTAAAGAATTCAAATACAAGTATATCAAGCCTCAGCAAAACCAGATATACCTAAGTCATGCCAGAGCCCCATACTAACATCCTGACCCAGTCCTTGGGGGAAGAGCCAGAGCTTCACAGCCTTCGAAAAGGTCAACAAAATGGGGACTGCATATATTTTTGGGGAGAGACTGATACATAAGGTAGGTGCCATGACAGAGAAGACTCACTTCCTAGGTCCTACCAAGTGACATTGCTTTAATGACAGAATCACAGAACTACGCTGCCTACAGTTGGACTTAAGCGTAGTACACAAAATTATCTGCTACAATGTCCTACCAGTCAATGACTACTTTAGCTTCAACCTCAACAATACAAGAGCACACAACAGATACAAACTCAATGTAAACCGCTCCAAGCTTGATTGCAGAAAATATGACTTCAGCAACAGACTGGTCAATGCCTGGAATGCACTACCTGACACTGTAGTTACATCCTCAAACCCCCACTCCTTTAATCTTAAACTATCCACTATTGACTTTACTCCATTCCTAAGAGGTCTGTAAGGGGAGTGTATACTGAGAGCATTTGCACCAAGACAAATTCCTTGTGTGTCCAATCACACTTGGCCAATAAAGAATTCAATTCAATTCCATTCCATTCCATTCTCTATATTCATACTCATGTTTATTCTTATATCTATTATCTTATAAGCGATTGACAAATCAAAATGAAAAAAAAAAGTCCTCTCTGCCAGATCTCGTAGGATGGGTGGAAGCCACGGGGAAAGATGGTCCCTCAAGTAACCTGATGTCCTGTACTGTGGTCTTTAAAGTGACAAAGGGCACCCTGAATTCTGGGTGACAGTGTAACTCATGTAGTTGTGTTATGGATGTACTATGTGATACCTCATACTGCACACGCCACTACATTCTGGACCAGCTGGAGCTTTTGAAAGCTCTTCAAGGTTAGTTCCAGTATTTTGAATGAATTTTTCATCTCCCTTTTATTTTTGATCAACTCAAAGTAATACAGTAATATACGTAATGTATGCATACCACCTATTTTTCTCACAACAACCTTATGAAGTAGGTTGTGCTAGCCCAATCACCCAGCTGGCTTTAATGACTGTGGATAGATTGGGGCTCATGGTCTCTCAGTTAATAGTCCAGTATTTAGCCATTATACCATACTGGCTCC